ATTGGTTATGGAAAAGACTTGATATTTAAGCGTGCCTAATGTGTCACCTATCTTTTTCCGAGTACCTATTTGGTGCATTATTTGTTTCTATGCTCACTATTTCAATTCGTAAAATGTTATGACTATTATATACATTTCGTAACTTAAAGAAAGTTAAAAGTGAAAATTAATAACCTTATTAAGGTAAGACTTTTGGTCATAGTAGTTGACCTATTAATGGTCTATTCAAATGTAATATTTGATTAATGTGATAAAAAATGCTACTTAGAATTTTGTAGCTATTAAATTTCTATTATTATACTCTTCTAATTGAGAAAGAAGTGATTGTTTATCCATGTGATTGTATGTTTAAAATCTAGCATGAATTTACTATAGCTTATTTCAGTAAAATTGAAAGAGAACAATGTTCACATGTCTTATATGATATTAATTTAGACACCTTGAGGTTATAGAGTGTGGGGGTAATTGGAAATTCTTTATAAGATAAATGTTATAATATGTGGGGTGTCTAAAACAAATAAATAATTTCATGTATTGTGTTGTGAACATATAAGTTTACAATATATATATATATATATATATATATATATATATATGAGAATAACTTTTAAAATTGCATGAAACTAAGAGGATTTTAATCCTCCTAGCTTAGAAATCTTGAATGATACATGATGTAAGGCTATCCACACTTCTTCAATGATGGAGAAGATGACAACCTTGTTGTTTCCCGATCTAGGAATGACACCAAATGCCACACTTGAATTATAAGAAATTTGCACAATGTAATGAAAGAAATAGTTAATGGAATAATGAAATTAAGAAAGGAAATGGAATGATAAAGAAATAAAGAGAAAGAATTGTTATCAAAGTTGGTTGTGGAAGTGATGTAGAAGTATCCTTTAAATGGAAGATGAATTTGGCCTCCAATGGTGATGATGGACGGTTGCCTTGATGATGAGTGAATGATGCTTCAATGGTGATGAAATAATAATGGAAACGGTGATGGTGTAGGCGTGAAGATGATGGAAAATGGAATGAAGAAAGTAGTATCTTAAATAAGCCAAAGAAGAAGAAAAACTATAGAAAGTTTATCCCCGTTCTCTATAAACTTACTTAAGGGGTGGTATATTCAGACTTGAACCCTCTAGTTATGGAAACTAGGAACTCAAAGTATCAAAGGGAAGGAATATTGCCACAAACTTAGAAAAGTTTGCTTAATTGATAAAGTTCTTAAAGAACTTGGAAGAGAGAATTCTCACAAATGAGTTTTATAAATTCAAGGTGTGTTTACAAATGATGGAAGTCCCTCTATTTATAGGTATTGAGAGGGCTGGTCGAATAATTAAGTACCCATTCGGCTAAGTACATGATTAATTGAAGGTGCATGTCTTTTAAGTTGAATGAAGATGGCCTTTGGCCTTGGTGTTGGTTCGGCTACCTCTTCATGTAATTATATGACGATTCAGCTGAAATGAAGGTGCATCTCCCTTGGCCGAATGGTTAGGTGTTGTTTCACCTTGGCACCAATGTCTTGTGCATGTGCTAGGCATGTGCTAGGCGTGGCCAAATAGTTGTAGGGGGTGCCTCATGCCTCTTCACAATTTAGGCTCCATTTAGCTGCAACAAGCTCACCAACGTGCACCTAGGTGTCATGGCATCCAATGGGCAACAACTTGTCATGAAAAGTCTCCTAGTGTAGATGGAAATTGTTCGTGATTTGAGCTACTTCCCATGTGATTGACATAAAAGTGAGCTGGTCATAGGTGAGTTACATTTAGATGAGTTATTTGACAACTCTTTCTGGAAAGGCACCTCTTGGAATAGAAACTATTCGCGAAAGGGTATGATTTCACAAAAATTGACTTAGGCCTTATTTGAAGTACTCTGTGTGGTGGTGGTGATGCTACAACTCCTCAACTGAAATAAGATGTCTAGCTAGCTCAAAAGTTCAACTCAAATCAGCTATGAGCTCGGAGTGCAGCTGACAACTTTTCTCCAAAATGATCTTGACCTGCCCCGAAGTTGTCCTAGTCATGTATAACATAGCTTTTGGACTCCATTGCTAGCTTAAGTCAGCTCCCATCATGTGGCCGCCTATGTACCTTCAAAAGAAAACACAATATAAGCTAAGTATTTAAAGTAATAAATATTAAATATAAAGATGTGTTGTATATATTATATTATATGTTAATATGAAACATATTATATAATATATTACTTGTGGATTCATTTTTAAACAATTCAAAGGTTTTAAGGCATTTAGATGTAAGAACTTACCTAAACAACTTAGCTCTTGATCGAGTGATTGGCCCTTGTGGCATCAATTCCATGTCCTTTGGAGTAGGCGTTGGTGTGCTCACATCAATATATGAGAAACCATAATAGGTATATGCCTATCTAAGTAGAGCATTTTTTGTGAAAATTTGTGAAAATTTCTCTTAATAGCTATAATATAAAGCTTGAGATGGCAAGTCTTGAATTAATCAGGCAAGAGGTTGAATACCTTTGAAATCTATCTTTTAGAAAATCTTCAAAGAGAGAAAATTATTTATTCTTTTTTTTGTGACTCATAAGATGACATGTGAATGATCTAAAACCATGTCTATAATGAAAAGATAAGACATAAGTTCATAAAAAAATGATAGTACTTTGAGGTACACGAGGATTAGAGAGAATTTATATTGATCTTTTAACTTAAGAGTTAAAAAGGTGATTCATGATTTGTCGAGGGGGATAGATCTTAAGCCCATTTGGGTAAGAAATTCATGGTGGACACCCAACTTGATCTTCTAAGTTCAATGTGGTCAAACGAAGACATGAAAAGACTCATAATGTACATTCACATCTATCCCTATGGCAAATAATGTACATGCATAAGGATGAGCTTTTGCTCTTAATGAATTTATAGCTTAGGTTTTGGGTGGTCCTAGTGAGAAGGACTTGATAAATCCACCGACGTGAAATAATGAACTTTACACTCTTAATTAATTCATAGCCCTAGATTTGAGTAGTCCTAGTGAGACAGACTTGATGAATTCACTAACTTGAGATGTTGAGTTTTATGCTCTTAATGAGTTCATATCCAGTATTTGGATGGTCCTTGTGAGACGGATTTGATGAATTCATCGAATCTTAAAAAGAGAGGCAGAGCTTTCCAAATGCTCTTAATGATTTCTTATCTCTGATTTGGCTGGTCTATATTGAGATAAACGTGATGAAATCAACTACATAAGTGTGAAGAACTAGCCAAGTTCTGTGAAAGATATTAAGTTGTCTTTCTAGAGCACTTACTAGCATCCCGATATATTGGTTAAATTGATTGATTATCGCGGAACTCAATTGGATCTGAGATTAGTTGTGTGTCATAAGTTTACTCCTATTTTAACAAGTTCAAGATTCATTCACTTGTTAAGAGAAGAATTGCTAATTTCAGTACGTACTAGTTCAAATCTAACAAATACCAATGCTTAAGCGATTAATTTCATTGTTGCTCTTTTCTCATTTTCAATAATCTTTTATTTATTTGCATTAGTTAATATTGTTAGATAATGCAAATAATTAAATAAAAAAATAAATATATTTTATAATTTTTTCTCTATATTTGAGAGATATTGAAGAGTGGTTGAGATTTTATGATAAACACCTTTTTTTTTTGTATTGATTTAGCCCTTATCTTTTCCTTATAAGTATCAAATTATACTTCACTATTTGAGATATCAATTTCTTGTTTTTGTCTATAATTCCCTTCCTCTTTATCTTACAAAAAAACAATGATAAACGAGTTCCATTTCCATATTTCGAGTGTATGAACTCTGGAAAATTATGTTAACTTTGGGGGCAACGTCCACTTTTGAGATTACATTAATATGAACGAAATTGCTTTTGTAATGATTACACATTACAATAATTTTATCATATTTTTTTATTTATTATTTATATTAATCAATGCTAACATCTCCAATTTGCAACATTACTTTTTTTTTTTCTAACAGCATTTACGGTTTACTCCGACATTATGAGTTAGCCGATGATTGAATCCTCACTCAAGGGGTGCCGCTGCTGCTTAAGAATACAATTTTACCTTTTGTTGTCCATTTTCAGTTTAGTGCTTTTTAAATAATCATCTAAACACTTTGATTGTGAGATTAGCAGTGCAATTGCCTGCTGATTCTGGTAGTTTGTATGAGATTTTACGGCCAAAGCCAACAAATTTCCCAGGGAGAATATTTAATGTGCATTAAGGCGAGGTTTAGCATATAAATAAATCCTCATTTTTACTGATTTGTTTCGTCTTTTGCTTCTTATTAAAATTAATACGACATCGATTGCATTAGGACTGATTTTATAGTGAGGATTTGATTTTCTTTAATATGATAATTTGTAATATTATTCATTAATCGATCTATAATAATATTAATCTATTTAACATAAAAAATATCTGATATTTTATAGTAAGCCTTGTTAACTCATCTATATTCAAAATATTAAATTCTCATTTTTGATATTATTTAATGATGACTGGACCATCTGAGATTAAAAAAGGTAAAATTCCGATGCAAAAATAAAACCAAATTAATTAAATTCGGAAAATTTTCCTATACGATAGTCTAATTTAAGGTTAAAGAAAGAAAATAAATAAACACAAATAAAAATATTATAAAAATATAATTTTTTTTGTTGAACATAACTTTAATAAAAAGTATTATGAAAAAACTAACATTTTAAATTGCCAATTAAAAATGTTAAGAACAAAGACATAAGAGTTTAAGTTAGGGAATTATAAAATTTTAATGGATAAACTTAAATTTATAAAATTTGAAAGGATGCGAAAATATAATTTAATAAAAAATATATAAAAAAATTAAATAATTTTAAATTTTTATATTATAATTTGTCCCTACATCCTGTGTAGGAAGAAGATGGTAAACTAAAAAATATTAAAACAATTGATATTTTAAGACACATCAATAGAAAAAATGTTAAAATAGGCTGCGGTCCCTTCCCACTAATTCCGGGAAACGAAGCTTCAGTCTCATCCCTACCTCAAATTTCATCATCATAGGGTGTCTTTTATCGAAAAAAACGAAGGTGAAATCATAATAGATTGAAACCTTAGGAATGCGGCGAGGTTGCTTCCAAGTTTCGTTTGCTTTTGTTCTCAAGTTCTTGAATTTCCTCCAAGCTTTCTTTGGAGTATCGATCTTACTCTATTCGATATGGATGTTGGATCAGTATAATCATCACGTCCCCGATTCTCCTCCGCCTTTAGCTCCGTCGCCAGAATCTTCTCTCTCGGCTTTCTTCAATTCGAAACCGGAGGTTGGAGCTCGAGCAGCTAGGGTTTTTGATGATTTCGCAGTTGGTTTGTCCTCCGGGTTGGATAATGGGGTCGGGTTTAACTTGAGTTCCGTTAAGCTACCTGCCCCTTGGTACTTCTTATTCTGTTTAGTAAACCGTATTTCTTAAAGTTTTTTTTATTGTAATTAATTGCTTCTAAACTTTATGGTATTTTGAAGTGGACAGCAATAAAAGCTTTATAAAATTTGAAGTGGACACAGCATTAATTGCTTCTAGACCTCGATCATGTCACCTAATCAGTTGCAGACAGATATGCTTTTTATTGTATGATGTTAAAGGAATACTTAGTTAAGAGTTTATTAGATGAAGTTCGTTAGTGACATACTGTACAACAAAATCATGCCATGTATTAGAATTGCTAACTCAACCAAATTTTTTCTTTGGTTTCTTACTTTTAATATATAGTCAATAGTTTCAGAATAAGAATAGTATGAAACTTAAAAACTTCAAAGTTCTGCGTATAGGACCAAATAATTTTTTTGTTGCCCTCCTATTCCCAAGGTTTTGTCTTGACTAACCCGGGTCGCACATCTAGTTTTGGTGGATGTGTCTCCCAGTTGATAGGACCAAATATATTTAAGATGCATTAAGCGGTTTTTTAAACAAGTACAGAGAGTTACTATTCTTGTTATTGCTATTACAACTCATAACTTAGTTGGCAAATATAAATGTTTGCAATTCTGAATGAGTATGAAGTTGATGCTATTATTCTTTGTTGCAGGTTCATCTACTCTTTTATGGGAGTGGGCATTGTGCTGTGTTGCATTAGTCTCATTGGTTTCATTGCAGCTGAATCTATTAATGACTGTTGCCTATGTTTTGTATCCTACTTAGATAAGTCTTTATGTTAATCTGTTCAAATGAAGTTGGCTCTAGTGATTTAGCTGCTGTGGTTCTGGACATTTCTACACAGATTAGGCCAAATTTGTGTTGAGACAATGACTTCCTGAAGTTTTAAGTTCTTCAAGACTATATATGCTTTGTTTATGAGAAGTGATGGTGGCAGGAGAAAATCAAATGCTTAAGATAGGTTCAAAAAATCACAAATTTCAGAATTTCAATTTCTACATTTTCAATTTTAAGTGTCTAGTAGTTGTGATTTTCAAGTCTCTATAACTAGCATTAGAGCTTGAAGATATAACTGTCTTGCCAGTTGTATAATGGACTGCATTCTATTGCATGTTTTTCCTTAACTTGATAAAACTGCCAGTATACACTTATCAAAATTGTTCTCATACTAATAGAAGCTGCTTTGGTGGCATTTATTGCAATTGATTGTCGTTGGGAGAAGGTAAATTCTTTTTGTTGGTGCATTGTGTTTGTTGCGAGATACTATGGCTTTGATCATATGCGAATCATTATCTAATACTGAATAATGTATTGTATGACAGGACATTCCATTTGACCCAACTGGAGAACTTGATAACCTTCGCACCTTCATAGAAGACAATATTGATATTTGTAAATGGGTTGGCATCAGTGTGCTCATAATTCAGGTATTTTAGCCCATGTTTTCAAGCATTTATAACTTACTAAGTTAGCTGACTGCAGTTGTTGTGCAAAAAAAGTCGAATGAAAATAACAAAATGAGCACATACTGTGTTATTTCTGGCTCTTAATCAGATGGTCTACTAAAGTTCAAGTCATAGTCATAATGTTGACTATGACAGCTAGCTCAGGTGAATATTAGGAAGTAACTGAATTTTTTATTAAGGATTTATAAATTTTATAATAAGGGTCAACTAATATGCAATGATCTTCTGAGTTCTGACAGGGTTTGCAGTTTCTCTAATGTGAAAAAAACTTAATTTGGATGCACTTTCTAGTGCCACCACTGAACTGTTCCTTGGTTGTGTTATCCCTTCGGCTTTTTCATTACTGATGATTGGATGGATGGGTGGATTGTTAATACATATCCCAGAAATGAATATAATATTGTAATTTAGTTTAGACTGGTGCTATATTGAGAATGGTCATTGGAACTAGTGGGGGTTGCTAATCTTAACAAGTATTCATGGAAAAGATCAAGAATGCTAGCATTATGCATGGTTAAAAATTGTGTCAACATCTTTGTTGCATATTACTAGTCAAATGCAAAATTAATTATTTGACCCAATGAAATCCTGGGCCTGTCTCCCTTGTTAAGGTAATAAAAATTTTGTTGATAAATGATTTGGGATTAAAACAGAGCTTTGTGCTTTCCCATCCATGATAAATTATTTTTGGAGATCAAATGCTGTTTGAACTTTAGTCAATTTAAGATAAATCTTTTTTTTAGATGAATCAAACCATTATGATATTTTTGGTTTTTAGTGATGTGAGGCTTGGGATAGGTGTGAGTGGGTATCGGATAGGGTTGACCTTTTAATATTTGGATGTTTAAGGGGGATTTAGAGATTTTCTGGTTTAGATGTGGTGTATGTATCTTATTGGGGTGTTATTTCATACAAGGTGTAATGGTTATATTATTTAATAAATCATGAGGTACTCTTTTCCTCCTTCCAATTTTCGTTGACATACGTTTTAGAATGTTGATGATAATGAAGGGGTTTTTTAACGAGGCCTCCAATTCTTATCAAAATAATATTTTTAAAATTTCACTTAATATACATGATAATATATTCGATGGCTAGATGAAAATAATATTTTTTTCAGACGTTGAGCAAATCATCTTACTTCTTTAGTCTAATACTTCCTAGTATATTCTTCAGGCATTATCTTTGCTAGTGGCAGTAATTTTGCGGTCAATGGTTTCTATTAGAAGAAGAAACGTTGATGATGAAGATGATTATGAAAATATTCAAGGTAGAACTCGGGAGCCACTCCTAAACTCTCAGTCTTCAGCCAGGGGTGATGGCAGGGGTACTCACTCTGATTTATGGGGCTCACGAATAAGAGAAAAGGTATCTTGTTTCTTTAGTACTATTAATTTGTGTTTTGTAGAATAAAAGATAGGACAACCACTCTGTGTTATTAGTTTATTCTATATCATGTCAAATGCTCGATGCAAAATATAGTTCTGGATTGAATGACGACTACTTCCTGTGGAAATGGTTTATCTAGGACTCTAAGTTGTATTATAAGTTGTATTATAGGACAATGTATATCATAATGGCATAATGGCTATGCTGTATATTTATGGTTGCAGGGAGCCTTATGGACTATCTGGTGATAGTATGACACATTAATGGTCTAGCTTATTAGTGCCAATTGGCAATTAACCAAACCCAGCGTCATATTCTGGAATCTCTGTAGCAAATGCATAATTGTTGAGTATTTATGCAGTTTGCAAGCGTGAATATGATTTTCCTGCAGATGCACGCCTTAACATTTATGCAATATTGTCCATATAATATTTCTTAGTATTTTCTAAAGAGAAAATCGCCTCAGTGACCAAAAATACCTTATAATATACGATTTTAACCAATTTTTTTTGGATTTGCCAAAATGACCAATAAAATCGCAACGCGATATAAAAATCGCAACGCGATTTAGAAAATCGCAACGTTAAAAAGAAAATCGCAACGGTCAAAAGAAAATCGCAACGCGAGCTTCCAAGTTCGCAACGCGATTTAGAAGAAAATCGCAATGCGATTGATAGAATCGCAATGCCATTGAGAGAGTCGCAACGCGATCTAGAAGAAAATCGCAATGCGACTGAGAGAATCGCAATGCGACTGAGAGAATCGCAATGCGATTTATAGAATCGCAACGCGATTGAGAGAATCGCAACGCGATTTAGAGAATCGCAACGGTCAAAAGAATAGTTAAAAAAATTTTGTTTCTTAAGAATTTTCTCTAAAAAGATAGTATCCGCGCGGACGTGTCGAAGACACGTATTACCACGACCACGACCACGACCACGACCACGACCACGACCACGACCACGACCACGACCACGACCACGACCACGACCACGACCACGACCACGACCACGACCACGACCACGACCACGACCACGACCACGACCACGACCACGACCACGACCCGACCCGACCCGAGACGAGACGGCGGCGGCGGCGGCGCGCGAGAGTCCCCCTTGTCCTCTTTCACTCAACAAGGAAGTGCAAAATACAAGCCTTAAATACCATTCCCAATAGTATTTCCAATACTATGTGGGATTGAGCATTACCAACACTTGTTCCAAATATCATTATTCTTCATAAGTTATCATCCATTACAATATGAATTAGTCGTGTTAATGAACCAATATACCTCATTAATATATGGTATTGTTGAACAAAAGAATGATGATGATGATCTTATTAAAGACCATCTAATACGAAAGAATCCAATGCATAACCGATACCTTATTGTGAAACTAATTCACATAGAGGTTGTACGTGAAAAAAAAATCTTTTACTTTTATAGTAAATATCTATCTCAATAATTTTAATATAAAAAATATATTTTTTTATTTAATAATAGAATTATTTCATGTATTTATCAAGTTATAATTTTAAATACTTATTAAAATGAATTAATTTATTATCGATAATTCATATTGTAATGGATGATAACTTTTGAAGAATAATGATATTGGGAACAAGTGTTGGTAATGCTCAATCCCACATAGTATTGGAAACACTATTGGGAATTATATTTAAGGCTTGTATTTTGCACTTCCTTGTTGAGTGAAAGAGGACAAGGGGGACTCTCGCGCGCCGCCGCCGCCGCCGTCTCGTCTCGGGTCGGGTCGGGTCGTGGTCGTGGTCGTGGTCGTGGTCGTGGTCGTGGTCGTGGTCGTGGTCGTGGTCGTGGTAATACGTGTCTTCGACACGTCCGCGCGGATACTATCTTTTTAGAGAAAATTCTTAAGAAACAAAATTTTTTTAACTATTCTTTTGACCGTTGCGATTTTCTTTTTAACGTTGCGATTTTCTAAATCGCGTTGCGATTCTCTCAATCGCATTGCGATTCTATAAATCGCATTGCGATTCTCTCAGTCGCATTGCGATTCTCTCAGTCGCATTGCGATTTTCTTCTAGATCGCGTTGCGACTCTCTCAATCGCATTGCGATTCTATAAATCGCATTGCGATTCTATCAATCGCATTGCGATTTTCTTCTAAATCGCGTTGCGAACTTGGAAGCTCGCGTTGCGATTTTCTTTTGACCGTTGCGATTTTCTTTTTAACGTTGCGATTTTCTAAATCGCGTTGCGATTTTGATATCGCGTTGCGATTTTATTGGTCATTTTGGCAAATCCAAAAAAAGTTGGTTAAAATCGTATATTATAAGGTATTTTTGGTCACTGAGACGATTTTCTCTTTTCTAAATCATGCCCTTGAACTTTGTCTTGCAGTATGGTCTGAACAATGGTGATAGATACGACAGCACTGATAAACACGATTTACTAAACCAGAACACATCGAGTATGAAGTCCAAGTAGAGTGATGATCAAGAGAAACACCCATCTCTCAGGTGGCTATATCCTCTGTACGTTAGATTTATACATTGTGCATTATAGTGTTGTTTTTATGATTGAGTATTTGTGTCATGATGTTGAAAATTGCCATGTCTCATACTGATCGAGTGGATAGCAACACACTCATTGATGTGTACAAGTCTTCAAATCTCATTTCTCGTTGTATTGCTTTGTAATTTGAATGTGGTGATATTGCGTGTAAATGAGGAAGTTTGTTGTTTGGTTTCGCCTTCATTTGAAATCCATTTGTCAGAGTTAATGTACTATTTTGTAAACCTATAAATACAGTTCATTTGATTTTGGTCCGTTATATTTCCCCCTCTTCATCAATTATATCGTTCCAATTCAGATACCCTCTTAAAAAGTATATTTTAAGACCCCACTAATTGCTCGCAGACCTTTACACCACCGACAGTATTGCATATTTATATAAATGTTACGGAATAGTATGGTTGTTATTTACATGTGTCTGTAGTAAATGGATGAAAGATGCTAGAAATTCTAAACTCTATTATGCTGATTTCATAAAACGAAAAACAAGAACTAATTAACATCCAACCCAGCATCAACCTCAACTCGAGTCATTAGCAACTTCCACTTCGCGGATGGTATCATGATACTCATCAATGCTTAAAATATAAACCCATAATACACTATTACATGGCATAAGATATATAATACTGGTGGTATTGATTATGTTCTGGTTCTTGTCTTACTGTTTGCCCAGGTGCTCTGCGGATGGTACCATGATACAAGTACTTTGCCAGCCAGAAATATAGTTCAGCAAACCAACCAAAAGAGCATATGTAGAATATTTCAGGGCTTATTATGATAAAGCTATGTACTGTTAACCTGCATAATTTTCCCCTAGTATAATATTTCTTTTCATCCTCTCTAAGTTATAACAAAGGGTGAGAAAAACTCGACTCGACTTAAAAAATTGATTTTTTAATCAAATCGACTTCAAGTTGTAATTTCATAAACTCGAATTGACTCCAAAAACTTTTAAGTTAAAGTCGAGATTAATTCCATAGTTGCTAATGAATTGGATTGGAAAGAAGAGAACAAAAGCATATAAAATTTTCTTTTGGCAAATTGTTAAGTCCACGACTGAGAGGGAATGGAAAGAGAACAAAAATACACCATCGAAGATTGATTCCATAGTTGCTAATGATTTGTTTAGAAAAAAAGAAAAATGTGGACCAAGACTTTTCAAAGCTTGCATGCCAAGTTAGATATAGTGGACAATAATTTGTGTGAGGCTTTTAATTCGAGCATTGTTGAGGTAAGGTACAAAAGCATTATTACAATGCTTGAGGAGATTAGAGTCAAGATAATGACAAGAATAGTTGACAAGCGGATATTCTTAACTACATGGAAGTACAATTATAGGCCACTAATCAAGAAAAAAATTGACATTACGAAGGACAACATTAACTGGAAAATGGTTTGAAATGGAGATAATGGATGTGAGGTTAAGAAAGGGAAAATCATTACAAAGTGGACTTGAATGAAAGAACATGTACCTGTTGAAGATGAAAACTATTTGAGATTCCTTTTCCTCATGCTTGTTGTGCAATATGACATACTGGTAGAGATCCAAATGAGTATTTACATTCTTATTATCCAAAGACAATTACAGTAAAGCATAGAAATATGCTTTGCAACCTATTAATGAGTCTAAAGATTGGAAGAAGTATGGAATTGAATATGTTTTTCCACCAATTGATAGAGATATGCCTGGAAGGCCTAATAAAAATCGAAGGATGCCAAAAGATGCACAAAAAAATCAAGCCTAAACATATTAATAGGATTGGTCTTATTATGACTTGTAAAAATTATGGTGGACAAGGTCATAATAAAAGATCATGTACTCAGCGTAAACTGCAAACCAAGTATTCTTCATTTGTGTTGTATTTTGTGTAAAACTTGAAAATATATGTAAATGCATGATGAACATTTTTGGATGTTTAAATCTTATATGTCTCAAATTTTTTGTTATAGGAGAGCAATGGGGATGACAATTCTTCGACAAGGTCACCAAGTACAATCATATCAAACTTTACACATGCATCCAAGAAAGGAAAGGAAAAGGAAAATGTCAATAATGTTTTTTTATAGATCAACAAGAAATAAAAGATACTAAGGGATAGATCTATACACTAATTTAAGGACTAGGGAGCATAATTTCTATGTAAAAACATAATAATTATAGTTTTCCTTTGGTAGAAATAGTTAATAACGATTTTAATCTTGTTATTTTCTAACTGTCTGATACAAGTGCACCAAAGAAGAGGAAATGAGTTGAAGAAACTATGTCACTCAAGAATCAGTTGCACCGAAGAAGAAAAAATGAATCGTCTGATCTAGTAGTTATTTTTGTTGTGTTGTTGGTTTTTGTTTATTGCAAATACTTACCTAACTTGATATGAGATTTTTTTAGTATAAGATAGTTTTTGGATAGCGTGATAAGAAGAGGATAGAAAGCTCATATCAACATGTTATTTTGGATTTGACAAATATTATCAATCACTTTATGCATGAATTTATGTATAAATATATTAATTATCAATTTATTAATATTTTTATTTTTTATAACAGAGAATGTAGCTAAATTTTGAACAATTCCCATCACTTAATGTACCTAAACTGTTATTGGTAGGATCCTTTTTAATTGGTTAATTGGGATACTAAAATTTTTTTTAGTGTAGAGAAATAATTAAACTTAATAACTAATAGTCAAACACTTAACAAATGACACAAACACTTAATAATTAAGTCTAAATACTTAATAATAGACATACATAAACACATTTTGATTCTAATTATGCCTAAACCCTAGACTGCCAACTGCAAGTATTATTCCAACAAAAATACATATGACACACAACAAAGAGCAAATGCACATTGTCTTATAAAAATGTTTTTCTTTCTTCAACACTTTAGATTTTCCCTTCAAGCTCTTAATTTTTCACTTTAATTCATTGTCATTCACTTTGATTTGCAAATTTTCATTCTCTTTCACTTTGTTTTGCACACTTTCACTTTCTTCCAACAATACACTGTTGATGTGACAAATACAAGTGGCTCCATAATTTTTAATATGTCTTCTAAGTCTTGTATTCTCCTTCGCCAAATTTAGTTCACTATCATGTAATTGGCATAGTTAGTAATTTGCTAGATGTGGCATGCTACCATTATACCATTCAAAATACCTACAACCATGATACAATAAGGGGAAAAATTCCATTATCAATAGATATTTCAAGCCAAATAAAATGATAAAGTATCAAAATATTCTTACTAAAAAATTTGAGTAACCATTACACCTTATTATGGGGTTTAAATCTCTCCATGAAGTTTCTCTAGGAGGCAATTTATTACATTAACACTTTTTGTGTTCTTTATCATACACAAATTCTCGTCGAGAAGAACTAAAGATGGTTGGAGAATCAAACTTGTCCATTAGAGAATTTCTATACATACAATATTATTTATTAAAATAAATCAATTAACATAAATCAACAGTCAAAAACCAATGTTCAAGGGTTATGAACAATCCATGCATAAAATCTATACAACAATGTTCAAGGGTTATGAAACTCAAAGAAAAATCTAATTCGAAATGAACTATACAGGTGAGTTCAAGGGTTATGAAACTCAAAGAAAAATCCAAATAAAAAAATTACTCTAATAGAAACTCAATGAAAATTCCAATTTGAACTAAACTATACAACAATGTTCAAGGGTTATGAACAACTCATTCATAAAATCTATTAAATTCATTTGAAACTCACAAAAACCCAAATATTTCAGAAAATCCATTCGAAAATAAAGAAATATTGGATGATTTGATTCAAAAAACCAAACTCACCTTCAAAATATGCGATTACATTATCGATGTAAGATCATGGTTCAATGAAATTGAAGAAAATGAGAGGGGAAAATATTTGATATATTAGGGTTTAAAAACCCTAATATTTTGGGAATAACCAGGTATCTCTTATTTGAGCATTTTACATAAGATATATACTACATGTGTTTAATTAATTTTATTAAATTTAAATATAATGTATATTAAATAAAGATTTTTCATTATATAACAAAGTAAGCAACTTGGTGTGGTGGTATGAGACACCTCATTATGTCTTTTACCTTAGTTTGATTTCCCTTCCATGTAAAAGAAATGTTCTAGGGTTATGAAACTCAAAGAAAAATCCAAATAAAAAAATTACTCTAATAGAAACTCAACGAAAAATTAATTCGAGCTAAACTATACAATAATGTTTAAGGGTTATGAACAACTCATTCATAAAATCTATTAAATTCATTTGAAACTCACACAAACCCAAATATTTCAGAAAACCCATTCCAAAATAAAGAAATATTGGATGATTCGATTAAAAAAAACAAACTCACCTTCGAAATATGCAATTACGTGATCTATGGAATATCCTGCTTCAATGAAATTGAAGAAATTGATAGGGGGAAAAGATTTGATATATTAGGGTTTAAAAACCTTAATATTGGGAATAATCTGGTATCTCCTATTTGAGCATTTTACATAAGATCTACATGTGTTTAATTATTTTTATTAAATTTAAATATAATATATATTAAATAAAGTTTGTTTCATTATATAACAAAGTAAGCAACTTGCTGTGGTGGTATGAGACACCTCATTCTATACCTTTTACCCAAGTTTGATTTCCCTTCCATGTAAAAGAAATGTTCAAGGGTTATGAAACTCAAAGACAAATCCAAATAAAAAAATTACTCTAATAGAATCTCAACGAAAAATTCAATTCGAACTAAACTGTACAACAATGTTTAAGGGTTATGAACAACTCATTCATAAAATCTATTGAATTCATTTGAAACTCACACAAACCCAAATATTTCAGAAAACCCATTCGAAAATAAAAAATATTGGATGATTCGATTTAAAAAAACAAATCCACCTTCGAAATATGCAATTACGTGATCTATGGAATATCCTGCTTCAATGAAATTGAAGAAATTGAGAGGGGAAAGATTTGATATATTAGGGTTTAAAAACCTTAATATTTGGGAATAATCAGGTATCTCCTATTTGAGAATTTTACATAAGATCTACACGTGTTTAATTATTTTTTTAT